CGTGTGAACAGTTTGTGTTGTGCTCTTGAAGGAACGCCATTCATTATAAATACAGCCCCACGGGTGGGTTCAGACCACCAAACACTTTCAGATTTAACAGCAGAACCGCTTTGGCAATTCCTGCAGAAGTTCTGACTTGCAGAAGAACATTTTAATCAGACAGAATTCTTTTTAATAGAATTCTATATTTCTCTTTGAAAAAATATTATACTACCTGGGCGGGCTGGACAACGTTCGTTAACAGCGTTGTTCCCACGGACCATAATGTGTTTTTGAAGAACAATTATAATCAGACAGAAAGAAGATCCACTTTTTAGCAGATTCATTTCATGAAGGTGGTGCGTCTTACCGCCGCAGGTGGGATCAGACACTATAAACTTTCTGATTGGCAGCGGAGACGTATGCTGGCGTGACTTTCTGAAAGACGAACAATATCTGAACAGAAAAAGGATCACTTTTATCGTTCTGCTAACGAGGAAAAACAAAGTAGAATGCAGGTTGAGTCAAACCTCAGCCTTTCCGTGCAGCTGAACGCCATTGATTGCGCTTACAGGCTATTTGGCGAAGACATTAATCTTAGCAGAAAATAAGATCCTTTTTTATTAAATTTTTAGCTTTACTTGGAAAAAAAAAATACTTGAATGCCGCCCCAGGGTGGAACTCAGACCAACCTTTCGGTTAGCCAGTGCGCTAATGATTACGGAGGCTATTACTGGAAAGAACAATCTGAACAGAAGAAAGATCCACTTTTAATGGTCTAACTGAGAGGAAAAAGAAAATACAAATTGCTCGCGGGTGGGTTCAGACCTCCAGCCTTTCAGTTGCCAGCCGAACGCGCCCAATCGATTATACGGACATGTGTTTTATGAAAAACAATTAAATGGACAGAAAAAGAAATCTCACTTTTTAATAAATTCTGTATTTCACTGAAAAACACCTGTGTTATATACACCTGGGCTGAATATAACCTTTCAGTGCATGAATTGTTTCCCCTTCATGTATTTTGAAGAGACAATTCATCAGACCTAAAAAAATATACCTTTTACCCATCAAGGTCTATTTCTCTTGCAGGAATGAAGTAATGCAGGTGGAATATGAACCTATGCGCAGACAGCAGAACGCGCTGAGTGGTTCACTTACGGAGGACTGTGTGCTTTCCTGAAGAGCAATTAATCTGAACAGAAAGAATGTAACTTTTTAAAGCCAGATTCTGGCTGGAACAAATATACAGATGCTACTTGGGTGGGCATCATGAACCACCAACCTTTCTAGATTAGCAGCCGATTGTTTTCACGGGAGGCTGGTGTATTTTGAAGAGACCCCAACCGATAGTGAAAAAAAAGATCCACTTTTGTAAATTCGTTTCTTGATAATAACAGGTTTGGTATGCCGCCCCAGGCGGTATCGAACCACCAGCCTTTCAAATTGCTGTGCAGAACGCAGCTGAATTTATACAGGAACTGCGTGTTTGTGAAGGTGGTAATCTGAACGAAAAGTAGATCCACTTTTATGCAATTTTATTTAAGCAGAGGAAAAAAAAAATATGAATGCCTTACGGGTGCGACTCAGACCACTCTTTTCAGTTGTGCAGGCAAGAAAGCGCTTAGCCGATTTGTGCGCCACAGGAGGCTTCGTGTTCACAGAAGAACATTCATCTGAACTTAGAAGATCACTTTTGTGAAATTCTAATGGCTAGCTGGAGGAAAATGCAGATGTCTCCGTAGCTGCCGGAATGGTTCTCAAGCCTTTCGTTAATGAACGCCTTTATCCCGTTGCATACAGGCTTCAGTGTGTTTCTAATGAAGAACAATTAAAATAAGACAGAAAAAATTATCCACTTTTAATGGTTATTTCACTTTGGAAAAAAATACAGTGGTATACCACCTGGTGGGCTGGGACATCTATTGCCTGGGTCTAACATTGTTTCACGGAGGCTTCTGAATATTTGAAGATAGATGTCTAGACAGAAAAAATACACTTTTTTGTAAATTCTTTCTCTGCCAGAGGAATGGTATACAAATGCCCAGATTGTATATCAGACCTGTGCTTTCTGGTTGTAACAGGAGACAGCACTAATGATTCCTTACACGGAGGGTTGATATGTTTCTGAAAGAACAATTAATCTGAACGGAAAAAATGAATCCCACTTTTGTATGGTGTATTTCCTTTAGGGAAAAATACAGGCGCTGCTGCCCTGGGCAGGCTGGAATAGCCTGTACTGGATTAATGATTGAGGGAGGCTGTAGTATTTTTTGAGAACAGTGGAGAGAAATTAATCAGACGAAGATCTACTTTTATAAATTCGTTCTTGATAATAACAAGTTGGCTTGGGCGACTCAGACCACCAACCTTTATTGTAACAGACACTTTAATACGATTATATACGGAGGCTTATTATTTGAAACAGTAATCTAGACAGAAAAGTTCCACTTCATAGCCAAATTCTATTTCACTTGAAGGAAAAACAAATAAAGAATGCCGCTCCCGTGTGGGCTCGAACCAGAAACCTTTCGGTTAACAGCCGAAGGCGCTGGCCGATTGCGCCACGGAGACTTCGAGTGTTTGTGAAGAACGATTAATCTGAATAGAAAAAAGATCCACTTTTTTATAAATTCTATTTCACTTGAAGGAAAAAAAATATAGAATGCCGCCACGGGTGGGCTCGAACCACCAACTTTTCGGTTAACAGCCGAACGAGCTAGCCGATTGCGCCATGGAGGCTTCGTGTGTTTGTGAAGAACAATTAATCTGAACAGAAAAAAAAGATCCACTTTTTAATAAATTCTATTTCACTTGAAGGTAAAACATGTATAGAATGCCGCCCCCGGGTGGGCTCGAACGACAACCTTTCGGTTAACAGCAGAACGCGCTAGCCGATTCCGCCACGGAGGGTTCGTGTGTTTTTGAAGAACAATTAATCTGAACAGAAAAGATAAACTTTTTAATAAATTCTATTTCACTTGAAGGAAAAACAAGTATAGAATGCCGCCCCCGGGTGGGCTCGAACCACCAACCTTTCGGTTAACAGCCG